CCTTTCTTTCTTTCTTTCTTTCTTTCTTTCTTTCTTTCTTTCTTTCTTTCTTTCTTTCTTTCTTTCTTTCTTTCTTTCTTTCTTTCTTTCTTTCTTTTTTGTCAGTCGTGGGGCCTGAACTCTGGGCCTAGGTGCTATCTCTATCAGCTCTTCAGCTCAAGGCTAGCACTCTACCACTTGAGCCATAGCTCTACTTCCTGCTTTTTCTGCTTATGTGGTGCTGAGGAATTGAACCCAGGGCCTCATGCATGCAACACAAGCATTCTACCACTAAGCCACCTTCCCAGCCCCGAGAGTTATTTCTTTATTGGATGTTCAGTAGTACTTAAGCAATAAAGATCAGAGCCCAATGTATATTTACACATCAATGTCTATTTTTAGTCTCATGTTAAAACTATGATATCTGTGTAATGTATGAAAATAAATCAAGTATGATTCTGTACCTTAATTTGGATGTATTTGATCAGTTTGTTAAGTATTTCCAGCAGCCGATCATTTCCAACAGGTATGTCTATTGAAGGAATATTAAGTGAATATAGGTAAGAAAATGTGAAATAAAAACCTAGGTTTATATTATATAAAAAAGTCTTATTCCATTAATGGATTCAAGAATTACCAACCTGCTGGATAGAGAAGTTTATCCACAACATGAATTACACCATTCGTGGTCATAATGTCAGATTCTTTGGACTTTAATTCATTTACCAGAAGTGTTTCATTTCCCTAGCCAAATAAAAGATGTCAGGAAGAAATTTAATAAAGAATGGACATTAGGATAATTTAATGATATATAAACATTACTATAATTTCATTCTAGACAGCTTACCCCTTTCAGATAGATTTTGCTTCCTTGTGTGGTCTTTAGAATGTTAGTGACGCCAGGTTCGAATCCTTTTCCAATGTAAACTCCTGGTGTCAGATGATAAAGGATGATGTTTTGGAGGGCATTTTTGTCCCCTAGGAGAAAAAAATGTTCATATTTATTTACTATTATATCATTGTTTTCTGACATGTTGATACTATAAGTACAAAGAAACTAAAACATTGGGCTTTATTTTATTTTCCCGACACTGCATTTTCTTATAATGTCATTATTTTCTCAAGTTGATATCAATGCTGCATTAATCATTCCAATGACATCAGAATATTCTGCAACTTACTAGGAGAAAAATACTGAGTTAGTTTTGGCATTATGATTATTTCTTTCCTATTATGTCCTTGGTTGTCTTTTCACCAATAAAAACACATGGGTAGTAAGTTTATGAAAGGCTCCTCACACATCCCATGTGGAATTAAAGGAAATTGAAGCTTGCCAAAAATACAGAGGAGGGGATCTGTTTTAGATTAATGTTGGAGTGAACAAGAATGCTTGAGGAAAATGTTATATCCTGAAACCCAAGGGCGAATAGCTGGTAGTCACTTATACTCACGGATCAGAGTTTCCTTTTCTTCGTTTGTCATTCCCTTGAAAGCATCATTGGTTGGTGCGAATAAGGTCCAATCTCCAGGCTGACTTAGAAGATCTTTTAAGTCTGCAGCTTCAAGCAGGCTGAGGAAGACACTAAACAGAAAGGAGATGCATTCATTTGGGGGGAGATTTAGATTTGGGTATATTCAACCACAATGCATACAGGAAAATAGATTCTACTTATTCAGAAGGAGTGAGAAACCTCCACATTTTAATGTATATTTCCAGTGCAATCTACCTGCTAAGAAAAATTTGTAATAGAGAATGACTTAATTTTTTAAATCTTTTTTTATTGTTAAAATACTGTACAGAGGGGTTACAATTACATGAGCAAGGTAATGAGTCCATTTCTTACCAAGCACTGTTGCCTACTCCTTTGCTTTTCCCCTCCCATCCCTTCCCTCCCACTTCCATAACTATTACTCCCCCTCCAGCCCCCGCCTAAATTGTAAAGTTCATTGTTACACTGCGTCAACTTGTATCCCTACTTAAACATTTACTTGTCAAGGCCATGCTTTATTGTAAAACAGAGACTTTCTTAAAAAAAAAAAAACCTTTAGTATTCTATCAAATAATCTTTTCTAATATATATTATCACTGTAAAATAATATATCATTTAATATATGATCATTTAGTATATTACATGATATGTAATATAATTTGAAAGTGACAATATAAAATTTCATTATAAGGAAATTTACAAAGAGAAGTTCAGCCTATCAGATTTATTTTACTCATTAAGTTATATTATGAGGGCTGGAAAGTTAGCTCAGTGGTAGAGTGCTTGCCTCACATGCATGAGGCCCTGGGTTTGATTCCTCAGTACCACTTAAGCAGAAAAAAGCCAGAAGTGGCACTGTGGCTCAAGTGGTGGAGCACTAGCCTTGAACTGAAGAGCTGAGTGACAGCACCCAGGCCCAGAGTTCAAGCCCCACAACTGACCAAAAAACAAAAACAAAAACAAAAACGTTATATTATGGCATTACAGAAAGCAGACCAAAGCACATACAAACTTAAAACCTTTTATGGACTTTTTATGCTAAATTTTGTTCTTATCAATACTGGAAACTACAAGGCTTTTTGGAAAATAATTGTGAGACAAAATATAGCAGTAATTGTGTGTGTGTGTGTGTGTGTGTGTGTGTGTGTGCGTGTGTGTGTGAGTGAGTGAAGGTGCAGTTAATAAGCTTACCTGAAACGCTTGTCTTGTCTTAGTTTTTCATGGAGGGATTTATCTGCAGGTTGGATGATTTCTCTGAATATATGAATAACACCATTTCTTCCTTGCTTGCTTCCTCTCACCATGCAAGAATTCTCAATGCAAACAGCCTATCAAAGCAAAGAACAATACAAGGTGTCCTTCGGGTGGCTGGAAATTTCCCATTGGTTCAGCTGAACGAGTACATTTTTAATTGGCTTTTCTGAGAGGTCATAACCTCTGAGGACCAGAAGAAATGTCCTCTCTGCTCAGTGTTTAATGTCTCAGACTAACTGACTTCAGACTTCTTATCCAGTCAGTTTTTCTATACAGGTTCAGCTACCTTAGGCATTCGACCTGCAGTTTGGTCAGCAAGTTACAGTTTTATAGAGTTCAATTCTACATTTTCCACAATCTCTTTTCAAGTTTGAGCTATTTTTTTCCAGACCCTTTTTAATAGGTCAATAGTAATTGTGAAGTGTGCTGGCTTCAGTGTCTCTACTGGTCCTTAAAAATATTAACTACAAGCCCAGAGTTCAAGCCCCATGACCGACCAAAAAAAAAGTTTAAAAATATTAACTACATTTTCTTGCTAGACACTGGTGGTTCATGCCTCTAATTCTAGCTACTCAGGAGGCTGAGATCTGAGGATCCTGGTAGAAGCTAACTCAGGTATAAAAGTCCCCGTGAGATTCTTATTGTCAATTAACCACTCAAAATTGGAAGTGACACTGTGGCTTAAGTGGTAGAGTGCTATCCTTGAGCAAAAGATTTCAGGGACAGTGCCCAGGTCCTGAGTTCAAGCTCCACAACCAACAAAAATTTTTTTTACTATATTTTCTTTTTTGTATATGATACAGACATATTCATCATTTAAAGTGAAGAAGCTTCCTTAATGAAAATGTGTGCCTTGGAATTGTGAAGCTATAGAATAGTCTCTGAGTACTATAATAAGTTCTGGAAAATGCTTGATTTCCAAAGAAACTTTTAGTTGTAACTCCATGTGCTCTGGACAGAAATTGAACAGCAAAAGTATTTGCACTGTAATTTTGATTAAAAAGTATTTCTAGAAATATTTCTGCTGGTTGATGTATTTTAGGCTCATTTTATGGACTCCATAAGTCTATGTCTATAAAAATATACCTTGAATGTCATCCTATTGTTGGATGGTGATATTAAAATAAAGCATTATATTATCATTCATAAATTGATTTGTTAAATGGTAACTCCTTTGTATAACTAAAGATGATGATGTTGATAAAAATAATAATAAACAACTTTCTTGTTAGGTATAAATTACTGTGCAAATCAAAAGCATAGTTTTGAAGAGTTTTTTTTTTTTTTTTTTTGGGTCCGGTTGTGGGGCCTGAACTCTGGGTCTGGGCGCTGTCCCTCAGCTCTTCAGCTCAAGGCTAGCACTTTACCACTTGAGCCA